TACTTGAGACAAGAGTGTACGAGCAAACAGTCAGGTGGGTTACTTGAGAGATACAACAGTCAGGGGGTTACTTGAGAGAACAAACAGTCAGGTGGGTTACTTGAGGGATACAACAGTCAGGTGGGTTACTGAGAGAACAACAGTCAGGTGGGTTACTTGAGAGACACAACAGTCAGGTGGGTTACTTGAGAGACACAACAGTCAGGTGGGTTACCTTGATTGAGACACAACAGTCAGGTGGGTTACTTGAGACACAACAGGTAGGGTGGGTTTACTTGAGACACAACAGTCAGGTAGGTTACTTGAGGATACAACAGTCAGGTGGGTTACTTGAGAGACACAACAGTCAGGTGGGTTACTTGAGACACAACAGACAGGTGGGTTACTTGAGAGACACAACAGTCAGGTGGGTTACTTGAGAGACACAACAGTCAGGTGGGTTACTTGAGAGATACAACAGTCAGGTGGGTTACTTGAGAGATACAACAGTCAGGTGGGTTACTCGAGAGACACAACAGTCAGGTGGGTTACTTGAGAGATACAACAGTCAGGTGGGTTACTTGAGACACAACAGTCAGGTAGGTTACTTGAGAGACACAACAGTCAGGTGGGTTACTTGAGACACAACAGTCAGGTGGGATACTTGAGACACAACAGTCAGGTGGGTTACTTGAGACACAACAGTCAGGTGGGTTACTTGAGAGACACAACAGTCAGGTGGGTTACTTGAGAGATACAACAGTCAGGTGGGTTACTTGAGAGACACAACAGTCAGGTGGGTTACTTGAGACACAACAGTCAGGTGGGTTACTTGAGAGACACAACAGTCAGGTGGGTTACTTGAGAACACAACAGTCAGGTGGGTTACTTGAGAGACACAACAGTCAGGTGGGTTACTTGAGAGACACAACAGTCAGGTGGGTTACTTGAGAACACAACAGTCAGGTGGGTTACTTGAGAGACACAACAGTCAGGTGGGTTACTTGAGAGAACAACAGTCAGGTGGGTTACTTGAGAGACACAACAGTCAGGTGGGTTACTTGAGAGAACAACAGTCAGGTGGGTTTACACTAGAGGATAACAACAGTCAGGTGGGTTACTTGAAGACACAACAGTCAGGTGGGTTACTTGAGACACAACAGTCAGGTGGGTTACTTGAGAGATACAACAGTCAGGTGGGTTACTTGAGAGACACAACAGTCAGGTGGGTTACTTGAGAGACACAACAGTCAGGTGGGTTACTTGAGAGACACAACAGTCAGGTGGGTTACTTGAGAGACACAACAGTCAGGTGGGTTACTTGAGACACAACAGTCAGGTGGGTTACTTGAGAGATACAACAGTCAGGTGGGTTACTTGAGAGACACAACAGTCAGGTGGGTTACTTGAGACACAACAGTCAGGTGGGTTACTTGAGAGACAACAGTCAGGTGGGTTCTTGAGAGACACAACAGTCAGGTGGGTTACTTGAGAGCACAACAGTCAGGTGGGTTACTTGAGAGACACAACAGTCAGGTGAGTTACTTGAGAGACACAACAGTCAGGTGAGTTACTTGAGAGACACAACAGTCAGGTGGGTTACTTGAGACACAACAGTCAGGTGGGTTACTTGAGACACAACAGTCAGGTGGGTTACTTGAGAGACACAACAGTCAGGTGGGTTACTTGAGAGATACAACAGTCAGGTGGGTTACTTGAGACACAACAGTCAGGTGGGTTACTTGAGAGATACAACAGTCAGGTGGGTTACTTGAGAGACACAACAGTCAGGTGGGTTACTTGAGAGACACAACAGTCAGGTGGGTTACTTGAGAGGCACAACAGTCAGGTGGGTTACTTGAGAGACACAACAGTCATGTATATCTTTCTCTCTGCTATTAATCTCATTAACAAAACGAGGGACTGGAAAATATTTATATATTGCAGATCTGGGCAGTAGTCGAATGTGGAAGACTTCAGTAGCTCAGTGTTTTCCTGCCACCTCTCCATCTGCTACTGCTGCCTCTCCATCTGCTACTGCTGCCTCTCCATCTGCTACTTGCTGCCTCTCCATCTGCTACTGCTGCCTCTCCATCTGCTACTGCTGCCTCTCCATCTGCTACTGCTGCCTCTCCATCTGCTACTGCTGCCTCTCCATCTGCTACTGCTGCCTCTCCATCTGCTACTGCTGCCTCTCCATCTGCTACTGCTGCCTCTCCATCTGCTACTGCTGCCTCTCCATCTGCTACTGCTGCCTCTCCATCTGCTACTGCTGCCTCTCCATCTGCTACTGCTGCCTCTCCATCTGCTACTGCTGCCTCTCCATCTGCTACTGCTGCCTCTCCATCTGCTACTGCTGCCTCTCCATCTGCTACTGCTGCCTCTCCATCTGCTACTGCTGCCTCTCCATCTGCTACTGCTGCCTCTCCATCTACTACTGCTGCCTCTCCATCTACTACTGCTGCCTCTCCATCTGCTACTGCTGCCTCTCCATCTGCTACTGCTGCCTCTCCGTCTGCTACTGCTGCCTCTCCATCTGCTACTGCTGCCTCTCCATCTGCTACTGCTGCCTCTCCATCTGCTACTGCTGCCTCTCCATCTGCTACTCTGCCTGCTCTCTCCATCTGCTACTGCTGCCTCTCCATCTACTACTGCTGCCTCTCCATCTACTACTGCTGCCTCTCCATCTGCTACTGCTGCCTCTCCATCTGCTACTGCTGCCTCTCCATCTGCTACTGCTGCCTCTCCATCTGCTACTGCTGCCTCTCCATCTGCTACTGCTGCCTCTCCATCTGCTACTGCTGCCTCTCCATCTGCTACTGCTGCCTCTCCATCTGCTACTGCTGCCTCTCCATCTGCTACTGGTGCCTCTCCATCTGCTACTGGTGCCTCTCCATCTGCTACTGCTGCCTCTCCATCTGCTACTGCTGCCTCTCCATCTGCTACTGCTGCCTCTCCATCTGCTACTGCTGCCTCTCCATCTGCTACTGCTGCCTCTCCATCTGCTACTGCTGCCTCTCCATCTGCTACTGCTGCCTCTCCATCTGCTACTGCTGCCTCTCCATCTGCTACTGCTGCCTCTCCATCTGCTACTGCTGCCTCTCCATCTGCTACTGCTGCCTCTCCATCTGCTACTGCTGCCTCTCCATCTGCTACTGCTGCCTCTCCATCTGCTACTGCTGCCTCTCCATCTGCTACTGCTGCCTCTCCATCTGCTACTGCTGCCTCTCCATCTGCTACTGCTGCCTCTCCATCTGCTACTGATGCCTCTCCATCTGCTACTGCTGCCTCTCCATCTGCTACTGCTGCCTCTCCATCTGCTACTGCTGCCTCTCCATCTGCTACTGCTGCCTCTCCATCTGCTACTGCTGCCTCTCCATCTGCTACTGCTGCCTCTCCATCTACTACTGCTGCCTCTCCATCTGCTACTGCTGCCTCTCCATCTGCTACTGCTGCCTCTCCATCTGCTACTGCTGCCTCTCCATCTGCTACTGCTGCCTCTCCATCTGCTACTGCTGCCTCTCCATCTGCTACTGCTGCCTCTCCATCTGCTACTGCTGCCTCTCCATCTGCTACTGCTGCCTCTCCATCTGCTACTGCTGCCTCTCCATCTGCTACTGATGCCTCTCCATCTGCTACTGCTGCCTCTCCATCTGCTACTGCTGCCTCTCCATCTGCTACTGCTGCCTCTCCATCTGCTACTGCTGCCTCTCCATCTGCTACTGCTGCCTCTCCATCTGCTACTGCTGCCTCTCCATCTGCTACTGCTGCCTCTCCATCTGCTACTGCTGCCTCTACATCTGTTACTGCTGCCTCTCCATCTGCTACTGCTGCCTCTACATCTGCTACTGCTGCCTCTACATCTGTTACTGCTGCCTCTCCATCTGCTACTGCTGCCTCTCCATCTGCTACTGCTGCCTCTACATCTGTTACTGCTGCTCTCCATCTGCTACTGCTGCCTCTCCATCTGCTACTGCTGCCTCTCCATCTATTACTGCTGCCTCTCCATCTGCTACTGCTGCCTCTCCATCTATTACTGCTGCCTCTCCATCTGCTACTGCTGCCTCTCCATCTATTACTGCTGCCTCTCCATCTGCTACTGCTGCCTCTCCATCTGCTACTGCCACTTCTCCATCTGCTACTGCTGCCTCTCCATCTATTACTGCTGCCTCTCCATCTATTACTGCTGCCTCTCCATGTGTTACTGCTGCCTCTCCATGTGTTACTGCTGCCTCTCCGTCTGTTACTGCCTCCTCTTCACCTGTTACTGCTCCCTCTCCATCTGTTCCTGCTGCCTCTCCATCTGTTACTGCTGCCTCTACACCTGTTCTTGCCACCCGTACACCTGTTCTTGCTACCCCTACACTTGTTCTTGCTACTTCAACGCCTGTTCTTGATGCCTCTATACCTGTTCTTGCTACTTTTACACCTGTTCTTGCTGCCTCTACACCTGTTCTTGCCACCTCTGCACCTGTTCTTGCTACCTCTACACCTGTTCTTGCCACCTCTGCAAGTCTTCTTGCTAATTTTACACCTGTTCGTGCCACTTCTAATTAGGTAAACGAGCACTTATTGGTCAAGAAAGTAGCCATAATGCTGGCCACATAGTATACGATCATTTTTATTATCATCCGTGTGTTTGTAGGGAACTCTTGTGACACACAGCTTATGTATTTATAATGTTAAATAAAGTAACATTGCTCTGTGTCTCCTATGGTCACTTACCTGGTCTTGTGGACCCTGACATCGTGAAGCTACTGAAGGAAAAGTAACTTCCTTGGTCTTGTGGGTGATGACATCAAATATACCCTGAAGGAAAAGTAACTTGATCTTGTGGATTGTGACATCAAATATACCCTGAAGGAAAAGTAACTTGATCTTGTGGATTGTGACATCAAATATACCCTGAAGGAAAAGTAACTTGATCTTGTGGATTGTGACATCAAATATACCCTGAAGGAAAAGTAACTTGATCTTGTGGATTGTGACATCATATATACCCTGAAGGAAATGTAACTTACTTGGCCTCGCGGACGGTGACATCAGAGCAGAAGACATCGTCCACTCTAACACACTTGGAGGGATCCCGACAGTTCACCACCACCCGCAGCTTCACATACAAGAACAACACATAATCATAATAATAATAATAATAATAATAATAATAATAATAATAATAATAATAATAATAATAATAATAATATAATATCTTTATTTCTACAAGTACATGTACAAGGTATACAAATCATAGCTGACATCAATGACATACTGCTATATAGAAAGCCGCTTGCTATACAGAGCATTTCGGGCAAATTATGTCAGTTTTGTCCCAGGATGCGACCCACACCAGTCCACTAACACCCAGGTACCCATTTTATACTGATGGTAAACATAGACAACCGGTGTAAGGAAACATGCCCAATGTTTCTACCCTCGCCGGAAATTGAACCCAGACCCTCGTCGTGTGAAGCAAGAGCTTTAACTATCAAGCCACGGGCCACTTACCAACAGTTACAACATAACACACGGTACTGGCGACACGTATTTTAGACTCTTAGATATTTCATTCGTATATTTCAACACGAAGCTAATTTGTGCTTATTGTTTGTACCATAAATCCCAGACACGTCCTGTGGGTCAGAAGATTCCTACAAACTTTGCTAACTTATACAACAAATTGATTTAGAAAGACACGTAAGTAAACACTAGGATAAATTTATCAGAAAACATTTCTCTCCTGGAACCTTGACCACTTCTAACATACAGTTAAAAAAAATAACAGTATATGGAAGAAATCACAATATAAAGTGTAACTGTAAATATGAAAAAAAATCCTACAGTAAAAATAGGAAATAAAACCTAAGCGCTTTCATGTGCTTACACACATATTCAGAGGAAGATGTGTGTGTGTGTGTGTGTGTGTGTGTGTGTGTGTGTAAGAACATGAAAGCGTTCACAGCAGTATATATATATATATATATATATATATATATATATATATATATATATATATATATATATATATATATATTATATATATATATATATATATATATATATAATATATATATATATATATATATATATATATATATATATATATATATATATATATATATATATATATATATATATATATATATATATATATATAGTAGAGTGAGGTGTGACACATGGTGACCTGTGTTGCAATAAGATCACAGTAAACAGGTGATATCACAATATGCAGAACAACCACTGTGAAAAAATAGTGAAATTCCAAGCGCTTTCGTGACTTCTAACATTATCAAGGAACTATAATTCCTTGATAACACTGATCAATAACCAAAATGTTTCCGAGACCAGAGTAGCAATTTCCAACTAATTTTAGGTCACTGATAATGAATATCATGGTTAAAATTGTTTGTTAACTCTACTTTTCAATATACACCAACGTGTCACAACAGGTTCCAACAGGCTTGTGGCAGTGTGTTTCTTACGACACTCACAATCTGACTGACCTTCATTATTGTTCCAGCAGTCTCTATGACTGCTGGAACAATAATGAAGGTGGCTGTGATGTGCAAGTTTATATTCTGAGGTGAAAGGTAGGTGATTTTCTTAGCCAAACACTTTTTAAACTTATAATAAATATCCACCGAGCAAGCTATTGATATGCATGTGAGATATATTAATTTTATTTTCCTATTGAATGATATAAATACTTCTGCTTAGCTGTTACTTTCTGTTATAATGATAAGTTAATGAATAAATTTTCTGTTTATCTTCTAACTGTTTGTTGCTCTTTTCTTTCAGATGTTTCGTACTTGTGCGAATAAGTTAGACAACTTCTGCCACATTTGTGGTGAGGTGACCTATGCATCACAGAAGTGCTGTATAACTGCTGTGGTTAGAAAGGCACATCACCTATATTTTGGATGCAAGACTGGTGACCAGGATATCAATGGCAGCTCTGTGGTGACTTAAAGGTTGCTGCTCTTGTGATGGGCTTGCAAGGCGGATACACCAAGTACTGCTGCTTTCTATGTAAATGGGATAGCAGTGCAAGAGGTTCCCACTATATCAGGAGAGACTGGCCACCTCAGTCATTGGAGCCTGGGATGAAAAATATTCATCATCCACCTCTCATTGAATCAATCAAAATATAGCTACCACCACTACACATAAAACTGGGGCTCATGAAAAACTTTGTAAAAGCTATGGACAAATCCGGTCAAGGATTCAAGTATTTAACGTCAAAATTCCCCTCACTGAGTGACGCTAAGATAAGAGAGGGAGTCTTCAAAGGTCCTCAGATTCGAGAGCTTCTTGAAGATGGTGACTCTGAATCAGACCTTCATAGTGAGGAGAAAGCTGCTTGGGAAGCATTCAAGTTAGTGGCGAAGGGATTTCTTGGAAGCAGAAGGAAAGGCAAGTATGAAGAACTAGTGGAAAACCTCATCAAGGCTTACAAGAACATGGGATGTAACATGTCACTTAAAATCCACTTTTTGGACTCACGTTTAGACTTTTTTTCCCAGCGAACTGTGCGGCAGTTAGTGACGAACATGGTGAAAGGTTTCACCAAGATATTTCAACCATGGAAAAATGATACCAGGACAAATGGGGCACAAGAATGCTTGCAGACTATTGCTGGACATTGGCAAGACATGATTCTTCAGCCCACTATTTTTTCACAGTGGTTGTTCTGTATAATGACCTGTAAAATGCAACAGTGACGACTTAAAGAACGCCTGTGTCCTCCACAGGAACTCCACGGGACATTTGGTAAGTTTGGAATGAAGCACAGCTCGTCCTCACCGAACATGATCTTAGACGTCGACAATGTCTAGAAACCTCGTTAATCGCCGTCACCGACACCGTAGAACATAACACTGGAAGCTACAAGGAAAAAAACAAAAACAAAAAAACTGGCATACATGATACTCAACCAGGGAAAACCCAACCTATCTCACGGCACAAGAATCACGTGACCTATATTGTCTACCTGAATTCGTCTCAAATAAGTCGCAGTTGCATTTTTCGGGTCACTACGTGTCACCTACACCTCACCTTCTGCCTATATATACTGTTAATTTCAGTCTAATAAATAAATAGGTACTAGTGTTTGCTCACGTGTCTTTCTAAGCCAGTCAGAAGATTTCACAGCCGCGCACCAGCTCCTGTGCCTTGATATCTACTGTGTGGACGACACAGATTAGGCTTTGCCATCAAAGTGGCTAGTTTACTATGCACCCCATATCCATTCTGTGGACGGTAGCACAAGAGCATATGGATACGACATAGATATACTAAACAAAGACTTTATTTGGTCTATGATTCATTCTAAGCAGTTTATTTTTAGTTGTATACGAGTATTTTTAAACGTGAAATGTTGCGTATGTTAACATCGTTGTGCGTACCTGCGGATTCCAAACCACCATGATAAAAATGATATCAGGTTGAACAAGTAACAACTAGGCTGGTCAAGTAACAGCCAGGTTGATCAAGTAACAACCAGGTTGATCAAGTAACAGCCAGTGTCCTCACCTGTAGGGTACAGAGGTCGCAGGTAACATCGTCAGGAATCCTGATAGCGATCTCGTACTTGTCAGGACGAGTAACGGAGGTCAGGTTGAAGACTGAGCCAGAGCCGTCACCCAGTTCCAGCGGTATCCTGTGAAGGAAGCTCTGTTACTCCCGTATACAACGATATCCTGTGACGGAAGCTCTGTTACTCCCGTATACAAAGGTATCCTGTGAAGGAAGCTCTGTTGCTCCCGTATACAACGGTATCCTGTGACGGAAGCTCTGTTACTCCCGTATACAAAGGTATCCTGTGAAGGAAGCTCTGTTACTCCCGTATACAAAGGTACCCTGTGACGGAAGCTCTGTTACTCCCGTATACAAAGCTACCTTGTGACGGAAGCTCTGTTACTCCCGTATACAACGGCATCCTTTCCTGTAATACTAGAACCCACACATGTAACACCAGAACCCACACCTGTTACACTAGAACCCACACCTGTGACGCTAGACCCCACACCTGTGGCACTAGAACCCACACCTGTGACACTAGAACCAACGCCTGTAACACTAGACCCTACACCTGTAACACTAGACCCCACACCTGTAACACTAGACCCCCACACGTGTGACACTAGAACCCACACCTGTAACACTAGTGTTAAACACTATTAATTGGTAGAGCTGAAAGAGGGTGGTTAATGATAAACGTCTTCGGAGGCTTCTTACTTTATTGTTAAGTTGTGGTGGGTACACAGGCTTGTGTGTTGTGCCCATGGCCCGGGAGGGCCATCCCACGAGAGAGCTACTAGTAGGACTACTGTCTTGCTGCCAGGCCGCTGTGAGAGTGAGAGAGTGTGGGACTAGCTTCCCACAGATCTGGACAGACCCAGAGGGCAGTACTTTAGTGGCGCGAAATATAAACTAAGCTGGCAGACAGCATGGGCTGTCTGTGCAGACAATACAGGCTGTCTACACTAGGCATCCACACCTGTGACACTAGAGCCCACACCTGTAACACTAGGCATCCACTCCTGTGACACTAGAACCCACACGCGTGACACTAGAACCCACACGTGTGACACTAGAACCCACACCTGTAACACTAGGCCTCCACACCTGTGACACTAGAACCCACACCTGTGGCACTAGAACCCACACCTGTAACACTAGGCTTCGACACCTGTGACACTAGAACCCACACGTGTGACACTAGAACCCACACCTGTGACACTAGAACCCACACGTGTGACACTAGAACCCACACATGTAACACTAGGCTTCCACACCTGTGACACTAGAACCCACACATGTAGCACTCGAACCCACACCTGTAACACTAGACCTCCACAACTGTGAGACTAGAACCCACACATGTAACACTAGAACCCACACTTGTAATACTAGACCTCGACACCTGTGACACTAGAACCCACACCTGTGACACTAGAACCCACACCTGTAATACTAGATCTCCACACCCGTCACACCAGAACCCACACATATAACACTAGACCTCCCCACCCGTGACATTAAAACCCACACATGTAACATTTGAACCCACACTTGTGACACCAGAACCCACACATGTAACACTAGAACCCACGCCTGTAACACTAGACCTCGACACCTGTGACACTAGAACCCACACCTGTGACACCAGAACTCACACATGTAACACTAGAACCCACATCCGTAACACTAGACCTCGACACCTGCGACACTAGAACCCACACCTGTGGCACCATAACCCACACATGTAACACTAGACCTCCACAACTGTGACACTAGAACCTACACATGTAATACCAGACCCCACACTTGTAACACTAGATCCCACACCTGTAACACTAGACCTCCACAATTGTGACACTAGAACCCACACCTGTGACACCAAAACCCACACATGTAACACCAGAACTCACACATGTAAGACAAGTCCTCCACGCCCGTGACATTAGAACCCACGCATGTAACACCAAAACCCACACCTGTACCACTTGAACTCACACCTGTAACACTAGACCTCACACTTTTGACACTAGACACCGTCACTTGTGACGCCACATCTCCATATCTCTGTCAACAGGCTCCTCCCCACCCACACCTGTGGCACTACGTGCCTATACTACACCACCCACACCTGTTACATACCTCTCCAGACACTCCTCTGCAGAGTTGTCTGACTGGGGACACAGGTAGAACTCGAAGACACCATCCAAGCCTGCAGGGATGGAAGCCAAGGCCATCAATACCTGTCAAACATGTATACTTGTTACCTATGACACCAGGTATCACCTCCACACCTTGATGGTTAATATTCGTTTAGTATATGCTAGAATATAAAAAAAAGTTGATATATGTAAACAAAGTAACAGAAGATTGACTCACTCCTCCTGCCGGGTACTCGTTGTGGCTCCTGGCGGGATCCAGCTCAAGGTCCGAAGGTCGACCCTGTAAGTGTTATGTTTGTATTATTTCTAATAGAGATATAGCGAACTCTTTCAATTATTTTCTTTTTCAGCATTCTACTGCAACTTTATCTTTATCAACTTCCTCCTACGCACACTCTTCCGTACTAATCTAACTTCTTCAACTTCTTGCTCAACTTCACAGTAGAACTGTGTCACTAACAAACAACAAATCATATTTCTTTTCTCGTATAATCATCCCTCTTGGAATTACTAGCATTTTTTTTTTTTCAGCGCAGTGTTTATACACTAAGTTAACTGAGAGATTAAATATTATTGTCCAAGACCTACTTTTTATTTGAATTTTTTTGATTTTTAGCCTACACGCTCTAAGTTGAGCCTCACTCGCCTTATAAAATCTCTGACGGATTTTTAAGAAGCAAGTTTGTTAATGAAATATACGCCCAACAGTTATCCTACCCCGGTTAACATGGGTTTAGAACACGTCACTTCTGCCTCTTGCAACTACTGCACTATTAAGACATGGTCTTCTATACGCTGGAAGACAAACACAATGAAGAATGTGTATACCTGGAAGGTGTTCGGGGGTCAATGCCCCCGCGGCCCGGTCCATGACAAAGACTTTACTAAAGCCTTCGACTACTGAATGCAAAAGGAACAAGCGGAAAAGTGGGCATGTAGATATTAAACCTAGTAACAGATACAGCCCCACTGAGTAATAGTGAACAAAGCAAAACGAAAGACTCCGCTACAGTGAAAATCTCTGTTCCTCAAGATACATTAATCACCCGATTCTTTGTCTCATTCTCATGTCCGATATAAAGACATAAATCATAATACTGAATTATCCTTTACAGGCTATATTAGAATTTAGATCACAGTGGCATCCTATGAGGACACACAAATCTTCAAGTTGATAATGACCCGGATCTTCCAGCGGGCCATTGAAAATAATAATATGTTTAATGAGGAGAAATTTTGATCAGTTCACCGTGTTAAAAAATGAGGAAATAGAAACTAACTTAGTATAAAACGAACTCGAGTGGAAGATTAATGTGAGGTATTTAGGACTGATAATGCCAACAGATCCCACATTCAAGAATCACAGCAAAGTTAGTGTCACATCCACGAGGAAAATGATTGGATACTTAGCTAGAATTTTGAAATAAGAGATGTCAAGTCAGTGATAATGCTCTTAAAGTTACTTGTTATTCTTTGCTTTACAGTAACAGCAGGTGAAAGTACAGATCTGGAGGATGTACAGAATCTTCACTGTCTGTACATATTCAATCAAGCATCTAAATTACTGATAATGCTTAAGTCCATCCAAATGTTCTCTTTGGAGCTTAAGTGAGAGAGATGCATTAAATTGTACACTTGGAAAATTCAGGCAAGGTTGGTTCAGAGTCAGCATACTTAAATCCCTTTGTATAAAAGGAAGAGGCTTGGTAGATGGTGCAAAATATTCCCACTGAAAAGCAGGGAAGCGATGAATACACTAAGAGATAACTCGATAAGTGTAAAGGGACCAAGACTTTTTAACATCCTTCATGCATAAGGAGAATTACCAACAGACCCCAGATTATATTCATGAGGGAACGTGTTAAATTTTTCAAGTCAGTGCCTCATCAGCCGAGCTACCTACCTTGGACTCAGTGCGGCTAGTACCAGTAACCTGGTTGATCAGGCCATCAAGCGAGAGGCCTGGTCTGGGACCGGGTGTTGGGGGCAGTGACCCCCAGGTTCGTCTTCACGTGACCTTTATGTCACCTCGTCACATTCCTTTTCCAAATCCACAAATCCTCTTACCGTCTGGTGTCCCGTGGTCTGGAACCCAACGCTCTCGCCTCATAATGAGTATCCATGGTTCGATCCCCGGCCAGATAGAAACATTGGACATGTTTCCTTACACCTGTTGTCCACGTTCACCTAGCAAGCAAGTACTTGGGTGTAAGTAGACAGGTGTGGGTCGCATCTTGGGAGACAAGTGAAGGACCATATGGGAAATAAGACAGACAGTCCTCGATGACGCACTAACTTTCTAGGATTATCCTGGCTAACCCTCCGGGATTAAAAATCAGAACTAAATCTTATTTGAATCACTTCTGTAAATTCTGCTTTTGAGTTTCAGTATTAGTATCGACTGTTTTCCTTTGTACCGTTCTTCTTACAAAGTTAACTCACACACTTAATGCTGTTGCTTTATGCAGTTGACGACATGCAGAGTAATTCAACTCGACGTTTTGTGCATTTTTTCGAGATTACGAACAAGAAAATGAAGAACTGTGTACTCACCTATTTGTACTCACCTACGTGTGGTTGCAGGAGTCGAGTCTTAGCTCCTGGCCCCGCCTCTTCACTGGTTGCTACTGGGTCCTCTCTCTCCCTGCTCAATGACCTTTATCAAACCTCGTCTTAAAACTATGTATGGTTCCCGCCTCCACTACGTCACTTTCTAGGCTATTCCACGGCCTGACAACTCTATGACTGAAGAAATACTTCCTAACATTCCTTTGATTCATCTGAGTCTTCAACTTTCAATTGTGACCTCTTGTTTCTGTGTCCCCTCCCTGGAACATCCTGTCTTTGTCCACCTCGTTTATTCCGCGCAGTATTTTATATGTCGTTATCATGTCTCCAGAGACCCTCATGTCCTCCAGTGTCGTCAGGCCGATTTCCCTTAACCTTTCTTCATAGGACATTCCCCTTAGCTCTGGAACTAACCTTGTCGCAAACCTTTGCACTTTCTCTAATTTCTTGGCGTGCTTGATCAAGTGTGGGTTCCAAACAGGTACTGCATACTCCAGTATGGGCCTGACGTACACGGTGTACAGTGTCTTGAACGATTCCTTACTAAGGTATCGGAACGCTGTTCTCAGGTTTGCCAGGCGCCCATATGCTGCAGCAGTTATCTGGCTGATGTGTGCTTCCGGAGACATGTTCGGTGTTATACTCACCCCAAGATCTTTCTCCTTGAGCGAAGTTTGCAGTCTTTGGCCACCTAGCCTATACTCCGTCTGTGGTCTTCTGTGCCCTTCCCCAATCTTCATGACTTTGCAGTTGGCGGGGTTAAATTCGAGAAGCCAGTTGCTGGACCAGGTGTCCAGTCTGTCCAAGTCTCTTTGAAGTCCTACCTAATCCTCATCTGATTTAATTCTCCTCATTAACTTCACATCATCTGCGAACAGGGACACTTCTGAGTCTAACCCTTCCATCATGTCGTTCACATATACCAAAAATAGCACTGGTCCTAGGACCGACCCCTGTGGAACCCCGCTCGTCACAGGTGCCCACTGTGATACCTCATCACGTACCATGACTTGTTGTTGCTTCCCTGTCAGGTATTCTCCGATCCATTGCAGTGCCCTTCCTGTTATATGCGCCTGATGCTCTAGCTTCTGCACTAATCTCTTGTGAGGAACTGTGTTAAAGGCCTTCTTGCAGTCCAAGAAGGTGCAATCAACCCACCCCTCTCTCTCTCGTGTCTTACTTCTGTTACTTTACCATAAAACTCCAGAAGGTTTGTGACACAGGATTTGCCTTCCATGAATCCGTGCTGGTTGGCGTTTATATTCCTGTTCCGTTCCAGGTGCTCCACCACTCTCCTCCTGATAATCTTCTCCATGACTTTGCATACTATACAGGTCAGTGACACAGGTTTATAGTTTGTGTGTGTGTGTGTGTGTGTGTGTGTGTGTGTGTGTGTGTGTGTGTGTGTGTGTGTGTGTGTGTGTGTGTGTGTGTGTGTGTGTGTGTGTGTGTACTCACCTGTGTGTGTGTGTATGTGTGTGTGTGTGTATGTGTGTGTGTGTATGTGTGTTTGCAGCGGTCGAGTCACAGCTCCTGACCCCCGCCTCTTTATACAACCAGTTTTACTACCTTCCTGCATCATGGACCAGGCCGTGCCTATACTTACATTATTATTATTATAATCACAACCAAGCGCTAAACTCACTTATACCTACAGCAGCGTATTTCTACATCTCATTAAGTAGGAATATATTACAACATGAATACAAGTTGCTCACCAGAGTACGGCAGGGACGAGGAATGGGATCAATCAAACTCTGGCTCATGCACCCGCACACAGCCTGAAAAAAAATTATATATATATATATATATATATATATATATATATATATATATATATATATATATATATATATATATATATATATGTATATATATATATATGTATATATATATATATATATATATATATATATATATATATATATATATATATATATATATATATATATATATATATATATATATATATATTCATTTATTATATTTTGAATGTGTAATTTAAAAGAGTCATATCTTAAACAGGTAACATCATATATGTCTCCCTTCATCTCAGTCCAAGTTCAAAGTCAGTAAATCACAGCTAAATCAGCTGTTCGTGTTCCTCTACAAGTTCTCTCCAGACAGTGTATGTGTTTGTGTGTGTGTACTCACCTAATTGTGGTTGCAGGGGTCGAGACTCAGCTCCTGGCCCCGCCTCTTCACTGACCGCTGCTAGATCCTCCCTCTCCCTGCTTCATAAGCTTTATCATACCTCGACTTAAAACTATGTATAGTTCCTGCCTCCACTACATCGCTTGCCAGATTATTCCACTTCCTAACTACTCTATGACTGAAGAAATACTTCCTAACATCTCTTTGACTCATCTGAGTCTTCAGCTTCCAATTGTGACCCCTTGTTTCTGTGTCCCATCTCTGTAACATCCTGTCTCTGTCCACCATGTTTATTCCACGCAGTATTTTGTATGTCGTTATCATGTCTCCCCTGACCCTCCTGTCCTCCAGTGTCGTCAGACCGATTTCCCTTAACCTTTCATCATAGGACATTCCCTTAGCCCTGGAACTAGCCTTGTTGCAAACCTTTGCACTTTCTCTAATTTCTTGACGTGTTTGACCAGGTGTGGGTTCCAAACTGGTTTCGCGTACTCCACTATGGGCCTGACGTACACAGTGTATAAAGTTTTGAACGATTCCTTACTGAGGTACCGGAACGCTATTCTCAGGTTTGTCAAACGCCCATATGCCGCAGCAGTTATCTGGTTAATGTGTGCTTCTGGCGATGTACTCGGTATTATACTCACTCCAAGGTCTTTCTCCTTGAGTGAGGTTTGCAGCCTTTGGCCACCTAGCCTATACTCTGTCTGCGGTCTTCTTTGCCCTTCTCCGATCTTCATGACTTTGCATTTGGCGGGGTTAAATTCTAGGAGCCAGTTTCTGGACCACACATCCAGCCTGTCCAGGCCTCTTTGTAGACCTATCTGGTCCGCGCGCGCGTGTGTATGTATTCAGCTATTTGTACTCACCTAGTTGAGATTGCAGGGGTCGAGTCCTAGCTCCTGGCCCTGCCTCTTCACTGGTCGCTACAAGGTCACTCTCCCTAAACCGTGAGCTTTATCATACCTCTGCTTAAAGCTATGTATGGATCCTGCTTCCACTACATCGCTTCCCAAACTATTCCAAACTGTGTGTGTGTGTACTCACCTAGTTGAGGTTGCGGGGGTCGAGTCCGAGCTCCTGTGTGTGTGTGTGTGTGTGTGTGTGTGTGTGTGTGTGTGTGTGTGTGTGAGCAATTTAAATTTTCTCGAGCATATAGTGCCACCCGTCTTCCAGTTATTCCTATCAATGTGGAACAATATAAACCCCTGAATGTGGCACTCGGCAGTTACATCCCGACTCTTCAAATTAAGCCATATGTCATTTATTGTAAAATCATCGATGTTTCTCGCACATGCAACTACTCTCAACTCAGACCATGAAGCTGAACACTTTTCAAACCTGAGGGACTGACCACCTCAAAACTAGTTCAAAGCTGGGGGACTGACCACATCAAAACTAGTTCAAAGCTGGGGGACTGACCACCTCAAAACTAGTTCAAAGCTGGGGGACTGACCACATCAAAACTAGTTCAGAACTGAGGGACTGATAGTGTCATGTTTACCTCTCCGGTCTTTCTGGTGTCGACAATATGTCACCTCTGTATTCAACTGAAGAAACCTGCAGAGCAGATGGAAAGTTTCGATACTAAAGTTACTCAGCTGTTGCACATGTCTTACTCATCTTTATAAGATGGTGTTGAGGGAAGATCACATGTGCTTGTCTTACTAGATGCTGCTGAGGAAGATCTTACCATGGTGAGGAGAAGGAACGAAATCATGGTGTAAGAGAGACGCAACTTCCTCAGCGCACTTGCCAGAACTCTCTGCATTTTCAGAATCTACCCACCTTTATATACTCCCAGAGAAGAGCAGTCATTGGTCACTGTAGCAGAAATATGAGGCTGTGACTGGTGGATGTACCATGTTCCAGTGTAACGCACAGCTTCCATATAAGGTTTCTCCAGGTTTCCTTGTGTCTGCCTCGTGGTGTCTTGATATCCTGTCTAGGATGTGATAAAAACAACTCCCGTGTGCATCTGTCTAATTGTGAGCACACCCAATGCTGCAGGAAAGTGCGCGTGCACACACAAACCAGACAACAGGCCAAGGTGTCCCGAAGCTCGATCGCCAGCACAATCAGCTCACACACCGAGGTCCGGGGTTCGAATCTCCTCCGGTACGGCTGGAAAACATTAGAGACGTGTTTCCATAAGACACCTGCTGTCCCTGTTCACCCACCAGTTTAAAATGGGTACCTGGGTGTTAGTCGACTGGTGTGGGTCGCATCCTGGGACAAAACTGACCTAATTTGCCCGAAATGCTTTGCATAACAAGTGGTTTTCTATATAGTAGTATGTCATTGATGTCAGCTAGGACTGTATACCTTGTACGTGTACTGGTAGTATTATTTTTATTATTATTATTATAATCAAGGGGAAGCGCTAAACCCGTAGAATTATACAGCGCCTGGGGGGGGGGGGAATGTGGAAGACATTCAGGCTTAATTCGGGGAACTGAAGCACAGATCCAATTCCCTAAATCAAGAGCCCCTCACCAACATCAAGGAACCTTCCTTGAGGGGTGTACTTGAAGTAAATAAGGATATTATTATTATTATTATTATTATTATTATTATTATTATTATTATTATTATTATTATTATTATTATTAAGTATCTACTGACAAGTGCCTTTGACGCCTGGTAACTAATACTCTCTCTATTATGTTCTCGATGGTTTTTTATTCCTCTAATCAAACCATCAAGCCGAATGAGGTATATGTGGCAGACTTATGTCGGCTAACCGATTTCAATGAATCCCCTTCACACACTATGTCACTCACACTGCAACAGCTTGTCATATCCCAAAGATTATGTATCTCCACTCCCAACTAACATATGCTTGCTGGATGCTTAAGCCACTACCTCTCAAAACCTTCCAACCCTTCCTAGGCCATTTCTGTATATCTACCATCTACCCCAGAATTATAAACAGGCTTGGTCAACATCAGTAACGGAATGGGTGGGGATTAAACCCATGGCGAGTGAGTCGTAAAAACTCCAGTCCAGTGCGTTAACAACTGGGCCAGCTGGCTGCAATAAGACTCATCCAACTAAGTACATAATGAGGTTAGCATGGGCCACCACTGTGACCACAAATACAAGGTTATACAGATAAATCCCCCACCAGTGTGGCTGTGGTAAACTTTAGCTCAAGTTCCTTCAAAGCTTGGAGTTTTAGGACTTGCTGTCCATGGGTTCAATCCCCACCCATTCCGTGGTTTATTTGCAATCGTGTTATTATGATTTCGTGAGTCATGTTGGTCAACATGCATTCTAGATGTCCAAACCATATCAACCTCTCTATTTTTCAGTTACATATATTTCTCATTCCTTCTACTTACATCCCACATATTCTGGCCAAAATTTCCATCACACATTGATCTCAGTGTGGAAATTTCCACGGATTAATTACAGCCACATGAAGTATCAAAACAGCAGTTTATTTAGCTGATATAAAAAGGGTAATATTTATGAAGAGATTCTTTTAACTAGTTAGCCCAACTTGAGACCTGGAGGTGAGAAGAGCAGTACTTGCACGGGTGACCATCTGAACTGTGATGTCGGCAAACTTCTAGCAAGACAGCAATTGAATGAATGATAGTGAAGGTGTTTCTTTTTTTTACGGTCACCTTACCTTGTGGGGGGATGGAAGCTGATAAAAATAATTTAAACCCAGCATCACACATTGATCTTGGTAAGAAATTTTTTTAAGTTACATTGAGTCAGCAGATAAGTAGTTACAGTTGAAGCATCGCAGCAAAGTTAATCTAGTCTGTATTAAAATTATTCTGCCAACAACAATTTTTATAACATGTCAGCCGTTTCCCACCGAGGCAGGGTGACCCAAAAAGAAAGAGAAACCCAAAAAGAAAGAAAAAACTTCCATCATCATTCAACACTTTCACCATCACTCATACATAGTGACTCTTTGCAGAGGCACTCAGATATGACAGTTTAGATGTCCCTCCAAACAACCAATATCCCAAACCCCTCCTTTAAAGTGCAGGCATTGTACTTTCCATTTCCAGGACTCAAGTCCGGCTAACCGGTTTCCCTGAATCCCTTCACAAAATATTACCCTGCTCACACTCCAACAGCTCCTCAAGTCCCAAAAAACATTCGTCTTCACTCACTCCCAGCACTCTCACGCACGCTTGCTGGAAGTCCAAGCCCTTCACCCACAAAACCTCCTTTAGTCCCTCCCTCCAACATTTTCGGGGACGACCCATACCCCCGCCTTCCTTCCCCTACAGATTTATAAGCTCTCCAAGTCATTCTACTTTGTTCTATTCTCTCTAAATAACCAAACCACTACAACAGCCCCTCTTCAACTCTCTGACTAATGCTTTTAGTAGCTCCATACCTCCTGATTTCCACACTATGAATTCTCTGCATAATATTTACACCACACATTGCCCTTAAAAAGAACATCTCCCCTGCCTCCTCACTGCAGCATTTACAACCTATGCTTCACACCCATACAAGAGCATTGGTACCACTATAATCTCGTACATTCCCTGCTTTGCCTCCATGGACAACTTTTTTTGCCTCCACAGATACCTCAATGCACCATTCACCTTTTTTCCATAACTTTGGGGTCCAGTCCCTGGACCCATTATGTACCTTTGTAATCTTTTGACTACCGCCCACAGGATGGGTATGGGGTGCATAATAAAGATATTAAACTAAACTAACCTTTTTTCCTTTATCAATTCTCTGGTTGACCTCATCCTTCATAAACCCATCTGCTGACAAGTCAACTTCCAAATATCTGAAAGCATTCACTTCTTCCATACTCCTTCCCTCCAATGTGATATCCAATTTTTCTTTATCTAAATCATTTGATACTCTCATCACCTTACTCTTATCTATGTTCACTTTCAACTTTCTACCTTCACACACCCTCCCAAACTCATCCACTAACATTTGCAACTTTTCTTTACAATCCTCCAAAAAGTACAGTATCATCAGCAAAAAAGTAACTGTATCAACTCCCATTTTGTATTTGATTGCCCATAATTTAATCCCACCCCTCTCCCCAGCACCCTAGCATTTACTTCTTTTACAACCCCTTCTACAAATATGTTAAACAACCATGGTAACATTACTGTATAAGACCTACTTTTACTGGGAAGTAATCTTCCTCTCTCCAACACACCCCAACCCAAGCCTCACTATCCTCATAAAAACTCTTTACAGCATTTAGTAACTTACTACCTATTCCATACACTTGCAACATCTGCCACATTGCTCCCCTATCCACTCTATCATATGCCTTTTCCAAATCCATAAATGCAATGAAAACTGGAATGGGAAGTACAATGCCTGCACTTTAAAGGAGGGGTTTGGAATATTGGCAGTTTTGAGTAACTATCTAACTATCTGGGCGCCTCTGCAAAGACAGTGATTATGAATAATTGATGGTGAGTGTTGATTGATAATGAAAAGTTTTTTCTTTCTTTTTGGGTTTTTCTTTCTTTTGGGTCACCCTGCCATAGTGGGAAATGGCCGACGTGTAAAAAAAAAAAAAAATTCTGCTTCAATGTAAACACTTGATCAACACATCCCCTGCCCACTCTAAGCTTCCTTGCTCATCTGCAATCCTGCTCTGTATTACCTCTAATTCTTTCAGTAATAACCCTACCATACACTTTACCTGGTACACTCAGTAAACTTATTCCCCTATAATTTTTAATCTCTTTTGTCCCTCTTTCCTTTATATAAAGGAACTATACACACTCTGCCAATCCCTAGGTACCTTCCCCTCTTTCATACATTAAACAAAAATACTAACCACTCTAACACTATATCCCCACCTGCTTTTAACATTTGTCATAATCCTGTCAGTTCTAGCTGCTTTACCCCTTTTCATTCTACATAATGCCTCATGCACCTCCCCCACACTCACATCCTGTTCTTCTGCACTCATAAAAGATGTTATACCTCCCTGGCCAGTGCATGAAATTACTGCCTCCCTGTCTTCATCGACATTTAAAAGTCCTCAAAATATTCCCACCATCTACCCAATACCTCCAACTCCCTGTCTACTAATTCCCCTACTCTGTTTTGAACTGACAATATTATTATAATCACAGAATTATTATCATCAAATAAAGCACTAAACCGACAAGGGTCATGCAGCATCTGCCAGCAAAAATGAAAGTCATGAGTGCAGAGTAAATTTTTATTGAGGCAATGTTTTACTACAAATATTATATTAATTGTAACAAAGTGCTAAACCCACAAGGGTCATACACTTAATTATCATCATCAAAACTATGCACTAAACCCAAAATGATCAAATCATTTGAAAAAAGTTCTACTTGGAGCATAACACTATCTAAATGCTTATTCTGCAAGCTTGTCCCTATGGGTTTAGTACTTCCCCATGATTATAAAAATAATGCAAGCTTGTCAATGTTACGTCCTCCAACTAGTACAGTGGAACCTCCGTTTTTGTATGTCCTGGTGTTCTTTGGATTCGGTTTCCGAATTTTTGTCGAAATTTTTGTTGAAATTTTGTCCCAATTTTCATACATCTGCTTGGTTTTCATAGAGTTGACAATGGTCTGCTGTACCAAACGCATCCGCCTGCCTGCACCCACACAAAGCAT